CCGAAATCCCTAATACGTCATGATGAAGTAGTGAGTTCAATCCAAAATGGTCGCTACATTTTCAAAAAGTTCTTCTGGGCCAAAAACGGATACCGTGTGCAAAAGTTTCGCTCAATTCTTAGTCCGCCGACTTTCCAAGCGTTCTAAATATTCAAGTGCTCATTCTTTTGAAAAATCGCCAAAATCCCTCGTACGTCACGACGAAGTGGTGAGTTCAATCAGAAAACGGTCGTTACATTTCCAAAAACTTCATACGGGCCCTAAGCGGACACTGTGTGCATACGTTACGCTCAATTCTTTGTCCGTCGACTCTCCAAGCGTTCTAAAAATACAAGCACTTGTTCTTTCAAAAAATGGCCAAAATCCCTCTTACGTCACAACTTAGTTGTGAGTTCAATCCAAAACGGTCGCTACATTTCCAAAAAGTACTTATGGGCCCAAAACGGACACCGTGTGCAAAAGTTACGCTCAATTCTTCGTACGCCGACAATCCAAGCGTTCCAAATATGCAAGTGCTCATTGTTACAAAAAATGGTAGAAATCCCTAATAAGTCACGATGAAGTAGTGAGTTCAATCCAAAATGATCACTACATTTCCAAAAAGTTCTTGTGGGCCAAGAACGGACACCGTGTGCAAAAGTTTCGCTCAATTCTTAGTCGGTCGACTCTCCAAGAGTTCCAAATATGCAAGTGCTCATTCTTTCAAAAAATCACCAAAATCCCTCGTACGTTATGATGAAGAGGTGAGTTCAATCCAAAACGGTCGTTACATTACGAAAAACTTCTTATGGTCCCAAAGCGGACACCGTGTGCAAAAATCACGCTTAATTCTTTGTCCGCTGACTCTCCAAGCGTTCTAAATATACAAGCACTCGTTCTTTCAAAAAATGGCCAAAATCCCTCGTACATAACAACGAAGTTGTGAGTTCAGTCCAAAACGGTCGCTACATGTCCAAAAAGTACTTATGGGCCCAAAACGGACACCGTGTGCAAAAGTTACGCTCAATTCTTCGTACGCCGTCAATCCAAGCGTTCGAAATATGCAAGTGCTCATTCTTTCGAAAAATGGCGAAAATCCCTTATACGTCACGACGAAGTGGTGAGTTCAATTCAAAACGGTCGCTACATTTCGAAAAAATTATTGGGGGCCCAAAACGGACACCGTGTGCAAAAGTTTCGCTCAATTCTTAGTCCGCCTACTCTCCAAGCGTTCCAAATATGCAAGTGCTCATTCTTTCAAAAAATCACCAAAATCCCTCGTACGTCATGATGAAGTGGTGAGTTCAATCCAAAACGGTCGTTACATTTCCAAAAACTTCTTATGGCCCAAAGCGGACACCATGTGCAAAAGTTACGCTCAATTTTTTATTCCGCCAACTCCCAAGCGTTCT